AATTATTTAAATGCTTTAGTAAATTTGAGTTGAGTTGGTAGCTGTTGGCTCTTAAAAATTAAAGCATATCATGGGTAGGCTGTTCATCAAGAGATCCTATGGCCAAAGAGAGGAAGGATTCAATGTATTAGGACAAGACCAAGATAGAAAATAGACTAAGTCTGAGTTGAAATAGAGGCCTAATTATTGCAGGCTTCCAGAAGGATGTCAAGTGTCTAGATTAGCCCTTCTTAGCCCAGGTTGGGTTCCAAGAGACTTAAGCCCTAAGGTATTCATTGTATTAACTGAATAAACTCATACATCCTTAATGGGGCTATGTACCATCCTTGGGAAAATGGAGAAAATAGTCACTCAGATAATCAAATAATTTTCTCTAGGGTTTCTCTAGCAGAACCCCAGTTGAGAAAGGCTGTTTTAGGTACTAATCTGTCGTCTTAGATGACATAGTAGTCTTTTGAGGTACAGGTCCTCAGGAAAGAAAGCATAAAAAAGAGCCTGTTGTAAAATTGCCCAGAAATTAAAAAGAATAATCTCTTTGTTAGAATAGTTATTAGTAAAATAAGCACAGGAGCACCTTGTACAAATCTCAGCAGTCATTTTTTGGACAATTTAATGTGTATCCTTCCAGACTTTTGTCTCTGCACATAAACTTATGTGTGAATAGTGTTTACTACAGAGTGGGATTGTGCTATTCATTTAGTTCAGCAATTTTTTCCCCTTGAGCTATTATGGATGTTCTGTATAATTACGTATGGATTTGCTTCTCTCCAAGGGTTTTATGATATTCTGTAGTTTAGTTGTCACAAAATATATTTTACCATTCCTAATGGATATTTGGATCATCTCGTTTTTCACTATTGTGAACAATGCCATAATAAACATTTGTTCAAAAATTCTTGAAAATATATATGTATTATGTATCTTATCTCTATAGTATAGATTCCAGAAGTAGAATTGTTAAGTCAGGATTATTACCATCCCTTTTTTTATTATACAAATTTCAAATATATTCAAAAGTAGAGGGTAACATAATGAACCCCAATTTATTCCTTATCAACCTCAGTAATTACCATCACAAGCCAGTTTTGTTTCCCACTCCCACTGACTCCCCCTACCCCAACACTGGGTTAATTATGAAGCAAAGACATGATATTTCAATGATAAATATTTCATCTATAAGGTATTGTCCTAAAGATTAAGAACTTTTTATAAAATACCATCACAGTTACCATACCTAAAAATTAGCAATAATTCCTTAATATCAGTGTTCAGATTTTCCAAATTGTGTCTTTTTTTTTTTTTACAGTGAGTTTGTTTAACATGATCCAGGCAAAGTCTACACATTGCATTTTGTTGATACTCTTAATTCTTATCAACTTTTCTCCTCTTATTTTTTCTTTTTCTTCTTGTCAAAGAAGCATTTGTCATGTAAAGTTAGCAAATTTCTGGATTTTGTTGATCATATCCCTGTGGTATAATTTAGTAAGTCCCTCTGCCACACCCCGCCCCCAACCCTGCAACTCCTGTAAGTTGGTAGTTAAATCTGGAGGCTTATTTCAGATTCTGGTTTGAATTTTTGATTTTTATTTTATATTGGAGTATAGTTGATTTATAATATCATGTTAGTTTCAGGTTTACAGCAAAGTGAATCAGTATACATATATATATAGCCATTCTTTTTCAGATTCTTTTCCTGTATAGGTTATTATAGAATGTTGAGTAGAGTTCCCTGTGCTATACAGTAGGTCCTTGTTGGTTACCTATCTCGTATATAATAGTGTGTGCATATTAATCCAAAGCTCTTATTTATCCCTCCTCTCACCATGTTTCCCCTTTGGTAACCGTAAATTTGTTTTCAACATCTTTAAGTCTGTTTCTGTTTTGTAAATAAGTTCATTTGAATCATTTTTAAAAATTGAATTCCACATGAGTGATATCATATGATACCTGTCTCTTGCTGGCTTACTTCACTTAGTATGACAATCTCCAGGTTCATCCATGTTGCTGCAGATGGCATTATTTCTTTCTTTCTTATGGATGAGTAATATTACATAGTACATATACAGCACATCTTCTGTATTCATTCCTCTGTTTATGGACATTTAGGTTGCTTTCATATCTCGGCTATTGTAAATAGTGCTGCAGTGAACATTGGGAGGCATGTATCTTTTCGATTTATATTTTTCTCCTGATAATCTCCCCAGAAGTGGGATTGCTGGATCATGTGGTAGTTTTATTTGTAGTTTTTTAAGGAACCTCCATACTGTTCTCTGTGGGGGCTGTACCAATTTACATTCCTACCAACAGGGTAGGAGGGTTCCTTTTTCTTTACACCCTCTCCAACATGTATTGCCTGTGGCTTTTTTTGATTATAGCCATTCTGTCTGCTGTGAGGTGATACCTCATTGTAGTTTTGATTTTCATTTTTCTGATAATGAACGATTTTGAGGATCTTTTCATGTACTTTTTTCACCATCTATCTGTTCTTTGGATAAATGTCTATTTAGGTTGGTTTTATTTTTTTAAAGACTACTTAATAGTTGATTGTGTACTTCATCTGTTTTTTCTTTTTGTGATGCTAGTGGCCCTTGATGATCATTTCTTAGATCCATTATTTCGTTGAAAGTTGTAAAATAGTGATATTTGAATTTTATAATTAATTCCTGAGTTAGTAGCACAAATACTTTATTTATAAAGGGAAATTTTCCCTCATCAATGACTTGGTTACATATATGGGAAAAGGAGGCTGTATGCTTAATTTTACCTTGATCATTTTTCAAAAACAGTGAATTGGTTTGTTAGCATCCTCCAAGAGTGACCAGGGAGGTTTTATAAGATCTTTATGAACTCATAATTTTAGTGATAATTAATGTATTTCAATGCTTTATAGTTATTTTTCTTCTTAATGCTCAAATTGTCCCCTCTTTAGCCAAAAACTTTCAAGTTGGCTTCTGAGTCTTTGATAAGAGTTTAGTAGCTTCTTTGCTTCTTTGTGGGTTAAGATGTTCCAGGATCATCTTAGACATATGTTGAATCAGTGATTCTTTCAAGGAGTCCTGGTTTCTTTAGTGAGAGATGATGTTTACAGACCCCAGTCAGTGCTTGAAGGTTCTCATTGCTACTGAGTTGGTCATTGCTTTGGACCTTTTTGGTAGATAGAGTTGGGGAGACCACTTCATGAATTCCTACTGATATTCCAATCCAAATTTAGGACTATAGGATTTTTGCTTCTTTGATTATTTATTCCTCCTATGCTGAAAATTCTGGTTCTTAATGATACTAAATTAATATTTTTGTATTCTTTTTCAAAGCACCAATGCTAGTCTCATCACTTGGACTTCCCAGGTGGCTCAGTGGTAAAGAATCCGCCTGCTGATGCAGGAGACACAGGTTTGATCCCTGGGATGGAAAGATCACCTAGAAGAGGAAATGGCAACCCACTCCAGTATTCTTGCCTGGGAAATTTCATAGGCAGAGGAGCTTGGCAAAGAGTCAGACATGACTGCACACACACACGCACTATTATCACTTATATAGTATGGTTACTGGAAACTGTATAAGATTTCTTTGCATTTACATTTTTTCCGTAGGTTATATCCTATTAGGAAAATACAATTGGATTGTTGTGTTTGTTAATCATGTGGTAAATTAGTTTCTCTTTTGTGGGTAAGCTGTCAACAAGATGCATAGGTTCATTTGTTTTGTTTTGCCCCAGCCACAAATTCAGATAGTATGTTCATTAGCAAGCTCTTTTTAGGCAAAATTTTAAGAATTGTCTCATTTTTAAAAGTAATTATGTAAAAATCTTATGTAGTTTCAAAGCCAAATTCCAAGACGTATTAATGGAACCTTCTATCTGTCCCTTCCCCTTCATCATGTTTTTTTCCCCCTCAACCTATCAGTAGCCATTTTTCTTACCTTTTTATTTTTCATTTTGAAGAAATGAAAGTGAAGTCACTGAGTCATGTCCGACTCTTTGCGACCCCATGGATTGTAGCCTACCAGGCTTCTCCGTCCATGGGATTTTCCAGGCAAGGGTACTGGAGTGGGTTGCCGAAGAAATGAAAGGAGATACATTTATTGTTCACATCCCCCCTTTTTAAATAAAAAGGTAGCATTCTGTGCACAGTATTCAACACCTTGCTCTCTTGTCTTAACAGGATGTTTTGGAGACTTCTCCATAGCAGTATTACATAGAAGTTGCTTCATTTATTTTTAGAAATGTTTTAATATTTTATAATATGAATAGCATTAACCATAGTTGACTTAATCAGTCCTCACTACTGATGGACATGTGCTTCCAAACCTTCACAGAAACACTTTTAATATTCACAGCCACAAACTCAAGATATTTTGTGGCAAAAAAATTTAAAGCTGTCTAAGAAACCCATTTCCTGTATATAAAATGAATATTTTACCATATAATATACTAATAAAGAAGACTTTAATCTGTGAATATATAAATAATTTCTGATTTTGATGAGTATAACAGGAATTACTGGTAGGGTCATTCCCTGTTTGAGGATGGCAAGACATTTCAGGTCAAGAAATGCCAAGATATATTTCTAAATTCATCTTGGCTTTCTGAATTTGGGGACCCTGCCACTTTTCCAAAGGAACCTTGTGTCAGACTATCTTATCCTCATGATTCAGGCTTAGCTTCTGAAATCTTTACTCTCCATCCAGCAACAGGAGGATGCCATATTATTTTTTTCTGTCTTTCTAAATACATTGATCTGCATACGCTTTCATCCACAGTCTAGGTCTAACTTAGAAAAGATCAGGTAAGGACTGAGTATGATGTAATGAGACTTACTGGTGTGGATCTTAAGCACTTGTTTCATTTGAATATGAAAAATGAAGGATAATTTAAATTTTTTCCTGTTAAAGCACAGTATCCTTGCACCAACCTTTCACAGAATGAATGCATATATAGATATAGATATATACACTCCATGTCTTGAGTCAGACGTTTGTCATCTTATCACTGAATCTTTCAGGAGAAACAGCGCAGGTGATCGTGAGAAGGCCCTGCAGGTCATGCTCCAGGTTCTGCAGAGCTGTGACCACCCGGCCCCTGACATGTTCTGCCTCTGTGGGAGGATCTACAAGGACATCTTCTTAGATTCGGACTGCAAAGATGATGCCAGCAGAGACAGTGCCATCGAATGGTAAACCCTCCGCCTTCGTCAGTAACACATGCATCTTTGCAAAGAATAGAATTGCACAAGCTCAGGGTCCAGGTCTTTTCCCTACATATGTGTATCTGCCTGTTTGCTGGCAGTAAGAAAGATGCCATTCATGTGGTCTGGGAATTTCCAGATTCTTTTTTCCAAAAGGAAACCATTAGAAACAGGATTTTCTGCTGGTGACACTTTTTTCACAAGTTCATGCATTTATAGGGGCAAGGAAGCTCAGCACCCTCCTTCCAGCTCTTCCTTCCAGAACCTTGTTCCACCACCATCATGGCATTATCCTCTCAGTGAGCTGTTCGTTTCTTATTCATTTATTCATTCAACAAATGTTTTCTGAGGGTTTACTGCATGTCAGGAACTCTTCTAGATGGTGGGGATAAACAGCAGATCTGAATCCACACCCTCATGGACCTTGCCTTGCTGGTAAGGAAAGTCAGACAAACAAATAGAGTAAAATAGAATATCAGCTGATGGTGAGGGCTTTGGGGAAAAGTTAATCAGGGACAAGGGAAGGGAGGTTTGGGAGTTGTCAGCAGTTTCATATAGGATGCTCAGTGAAGGTGAATAAAGCGTAGGTGGTGAGGGAATGAGCCTTGTGGATAACTGTGTTCCAGAAGTGGGGTGGGGGACAGCAAGAACAAGAGCTGAGGGGGTTTCCTCAGCAAAGACCCTGAGGAGGAAGCATGCCGAGTATGTGCAAAGATGATGAGGCAGGAGCAAGGAGGGGAGTGGCAGGAAATGCAAAAGAAGAAGACTGTTTTACTCAGAGTGAGATGATACAGTGCTGGAATGTTCTGAGCAGAGGAGTGACAAGATCTGAGCTGCATTTTAACCAGAGGACTCTCATGGTTATGCAAAGAATACATGTTAGGGGGTGTGTCAGCTATCATTTTCTGCATAACAAGCATCTCCAAAACCTAGTGGCTTAACACAAGGGTTTCCGATTTCTCATGATTCTGTGGTTTGCCCAGGCAGTTCCTCTGCCGATTCTAGTCCTGAAGTGCCAAAGTCATTCCTAAGGTTGTAGTCAGTCATCTGGAGAGTCAGCAGGGCTGAAAGGTCCAGGATGGCCTCAGTCACATGTGACAGCTGATGCCGGCTGTTGGTGGGAGCCTCCATTCTCTAGCAGTGGTTTTAGTCCTGCAAGACCAGCTCCCTTACATGGTGGACAGCATTTTAACAGAGTGAATGTGGAAACCAGAAAGCCTCTCAAGGCTCAGGAACTCTCACAAGGTCAGTTCTGCCGCATGTTCTTGGTCAAAGCCAACCACATGGTCGGCCCAGATTCAAAGGGGTGGAGATGCAGATTCCACCTGTGAGAGGGAGACCTGACCAAGGCATGTGCTTAGTGGTTTGGCAGGGGTTTGTGGTTACTAAGTAACCTGCCACGTGGATGAGGGCTGACCCAGAGAACAGTTAGAAACTCAGAGAAGAGCTGATGGTAGCTTGAACCAGGGTAGTAATGATGAAAACAATGAAGTGTCAGAACCTGGGTGTATTTGAAGATAGAGCAAACAGCCTACATCATCCATTTCCATCACAAGAGCTCTTGGTAGCGCTGTTTGGTCTCATTTAATTCTGATTGCTCCCTTTCCTCCTCCTCTTTGTTTTCCTTCTATATAGATTGGACTTTGTCCTCTCCCCTCGTCTCTCCATCTACTCTGTTCCCTGGTAATCCCAGTCAATCCCACACCTTAGACTGTAGTCAGTCTCCAGCCCAGCCCCTATCCTAAGCTTTGGCCCCACATTGCCCCACTCTTTGCTTACCTATTCTTTCAAGATGGTGCTGGTCTTTAAGACTCAACGTGTCTAAGACTGAAGTTATTCCCTCCTCTCCATAAGGGATAGCTTCCACTGTCTTGCTCTCTTACCACCATTCTTTTTTTTTTTTCCTTTAGCTATGGACTTTATTGTTTGAATATTAACAACTATTATTTTATACTCACATTTTAATTTCTTACAAAACTCTACATTCCACATTGCTAGGTCTCTTCATTCTCTATTTTATGCCACATTTTCATGAAAAGGTATTCCCCTGAATCATAATCTGCCTGATTGTGGGTTTGTTGTTATGGTTGTTGTGGTGTAGTCACTAAGTTGTGACCCCATGGATCATAGACCCCCAGGCCCTTTTGTCCATGGGGTTCTCTAGGCAAGATACTGGAGTGGGTTGCCATTTCCTTCTCCATCTTACCACCATTCTTTAGCCTTCTCTGCATGCACTTTTGCTTAATGTTTGGTGACTCTCACTTACTTATCTCCCCATACAGTCACTTCCCAATTCCAGCCCTTCTGTAAGCCTTCCCTTCCTCCCTAACCATCCTTTCCCATCACCACCACCCTCAGTCGGTGCCAATTTTTTTTTTTTTTTTTACTTTCTTGCCAGGAATGTTCTAACAGTATCCCAGGTAGGTTCTCTGCTTGGTGTCTGTGGAGTGTATCCTTCATAGATTAACAGCTTACTTTTCCTGAAGCTCAAAGACCCAAAATACCTCTGCACTCCCTACTAAATACAACTTCAAACTCATAGATCGCCATTCTGGGTGCCCTGCAGCCTTTCTCCAACCTGCCCCAGCCCTGTTTCTCACTATTTGATATGTGTCCACGTAAACTAGAGTTCCTTAGGAGCTTCCCAAACTCCCATCTCCGCTCCTGCCATTTTCTGTGCTGGGGATTCCCTTTCTAAATCGCTGCTGTTACAATTCTGTCCATCTTCGTGCCACGTCTCAAGCCTCTCTGTCTCCTGTGAGTCCCTCTAGATGGATTTGTGTGGCTTTAGGTTATTTGCCACACTCATGAAAATTAGTATTTTCACTAATTGTGTGTAGATCTTACGACCTCTTCCATGGTATAGGTTCTTAGAGGGTGGGGACCTTCTTTTAGTCTTAGTTAATCCCCAGTAGTACCCAATGCACTGCATGGTCAAGAGGAATCACTCGGGGTGTTGAAAGGAAGGGAAACGGAGGAAAATAATTGGCAGGGGCAAAATAGGAAGCTGTGTTCCTACCACTGTGGGCAGGAATTCAACCCCCAGGATCAGGAAATGACTGCCTGTGGCTCCTTCAAGGAAGTCATCAGAGCCCCCTCCATGCAGTTCGGAAGGTAGTGCTGTGGGTACAGGAGCACACGAAGCTTAATCTTCTGGTCAAGGCATGTTGGCTCTGGTGAGGTCATGGGGATCGTCCTGCTCTCAGAGATGTGGAACAAGAGGCTCAGGGAGGCAGGGATCCAGTCCAAAGTCGTGGGGCTGGACAGACAGACACAAACCTGGGACTGCAGTCCTGACTGCGAATTCGAGACTTGTCTGTCCCCAAGCTGGGCCTGTTTGATTTGTGGATAAGAAACAGAGAAACCACCCGCTGCCCTCTTCCCAGATAGCTTTCCATAGTAAAAGAAAATGGAAAAAAAAGTCACATATAGTAGCATATGGAATTTAAAATCCCCAAAACATACCAGGAGTGGGAGGGAGAGAGGGTTCAATTTTATTGGAATTTTGTTGACTGGAGTTGGAAGAACTTTCTTCACGTCCTCGGCTCCACTTGAGGGTACTTGTATCATGCCACAAAGTTCACAGAATCAGATTTTAACTGATTTCATGACATGATCAGATTTAACTGATAAGTTCTCCCTTTCACAATGAATGTTTTGTTAGTGCTTAATCCTCCTGTTGTCACATGAGTGATAAAATCACTACTGGTTTACAGAAAGACATTTTTGTGTCATTACTTCATTGATCAGATTCTTTTTTCCCTGATCTTGGTATTCATACTTCATCATGGAAGAGAAATACATTTTTTATGTGTAGACAAGTGATAAATAAGAAAATTTTGAATGGCATGGTGAACCTTTCAGTATAAGAATGGCACTCACAGTTTAGGATCTTGTTCTTTATCCTAATGTAAACCTGCCCCTTCTCTCACTTTATGCCACTGCTCTTTGGGATCCAACATTTTGGCAGAATGGCTTCTTACATGAAAAAATAATTCCATTTTGTGATACAAACAAACAGACGGCCTACAGAGAAAGGGCCTATACCTGTTGAGATTTCTGTGAAATAAAAAATGCTCAGTGTGCAAATGGAGTATAACTTTAAAAATGATATGTTGACATTTTGGCTCACTTTAGGGGGTAGAATTATAATAGGTTTTAAATATCTTTTGTACACTTTAATGTACTTTCCTTATTTTATACAATGACCATAGCTTTTCTCTAAAAGCTATAAATCTGATGAAGAAAGATTTTAAAACTCCCTAGTGCTATTGTGTTGCTATTATGAAATTTTTAAGAAGCTATCTGATTGGTGCATGTAGCTATCTGTAAAGATGGGCAGGGAGGGGCAAAGAGCTGGAAAACAGAGTAGTAAAAATTTTCGTGAGAAGGGTGATATGTGCTATTATTTACACTTTTTTCTTCTACTATAATAAGCTGATATAAAGGGAGTTTTGGTGCTTCTGTAATTACAGGTATCGCAAAGGGTTTGCCCTCCAGCCATCCCTTTATTCAGGAATCAATCTTGCAGTATTGCTGATAGTTGCTGGACAACAATTTGAAACTTCCATGGAGCTGAGGAAAATAGGTAAAGCTGTTCATGACTGTACATGTTGATATGCTTTGACAACACAAGTCCAGCATTCAAAATTATGCTCAAATAACCAGCATTAAGGGGACTTCCCTGGTGGCTCAGTGGTAAAGAATCTGCCAGCCAATGGTGGAGACGTGAGTTTGACCTCTGGGTTGGGAAGATCCCCTGGAGAAGGAAATGACAACCCACTCCAATATTCTTGCCTGGGAAATTCAATGGACAGAGAAGCCTGGCGGCCTACAGTCCGTGGAGTCGCAAGAGTCAAACAGAACTTAGTGACTAAACAACAACAAAAACAACCAGCATTATATCGCAAAAGGGATAGTTACTCTCTGATAGCACACGTGAGGCTGCAGCCCAAATACAATGCCCAGTTTCTCCTCTATCTAGAGGCTTACATGATATGATAGAAACTAGGAAGATTTGTCTTAACTTTATCTAAAATTCAAATTATTCAGGTGTCCGGCTGAACAGTTTGTTGGGAAGAAAAGGGAGCTTGGAGAAAATGAACAACTACTGGGATGTAGGTCAGTTCTTCAGTGTCAGCATGTTGGCCAATGATGTTGGGAAGGCTGTCCAGGCAGCAGAGAGGTTGTTCAGACTGAAACCTGCCATCTGGTGAGTCATGCCTATGCATTTTTATCATCCATGTCAATATCCAGTCTTGTTCTGAAAAGTTAACCCAGGAGGAAAAGGTGTGAATGCAAAGAACAATAACAATTGCTGTGTTTTTCCTTCTGACTTCTTCATTAAAGCAAAGTTAAGGCAGAAAGGCTCACTTGGTTTTATGTGAAGGGAGGGAAAAACAGACAGACCCCCCCACACAGAATATATCCTTACATGCTATGTCTCCAAGACACAACTCTCAGTCCCGTTAGTTTTTTCAGATCATGTAGGTTCTCAAGAGCAGAGCATTTTTGGGTACCAGTCCATATTGTGCATTTGTGAGAAAGCAAATAGTAAAGCTCAAAGTACACCAAGTAAATGATTTTTATCACAAATGGAAGCGAACTAAAACACCCATCATAGATATGGTCAGGAAAATAGAGGCCCAGCAGTGCCTCTAGTTAGCTCATTATGCAGCCATTAAAATGTGCAAGAAAGAATACTTGGAGATATGGAAATGTGTTCATGGTTTATCGTTGAATAAGAAAAGCCAGATGCAGCATGTATTTTTTCTATCAGTGACATTATCAGAATCACCTGGGTTGATTAAAACAGATTGCCAGGCCTAACCCTTAGGATTTCTGGTTCAGAAGGTATAGGGTAGGGCCTGAGAATTTGCATTTAGAAATTACAAGCTGATGCTGCTGGCCTGGGGGCCACACTTTGAGAACTACTGTTCTATATGGACTCATTTTCATTAAAAACCTCTGTTTCATGTGACTTGGAGGAGGGTCTGGGAGAGTTGGGCAATAGCTGATTTCCCAATAGACACTGAGCTCTGCTAGAATCATGGTTCCGCCATTGATTGCTATAGTCTCATAAAATCAATAGATGCTCAGCAGATATTTGTATAATGAATAAATGATGAGTCATGGATTGTCCCCAAAATATTGATAGTGGTTGTCTCAGGGAGGTAGCCAATGAAGAAGTTTTGAATCTGCTTTTTGAATCTATCCTCTGATTTGTCTAAAATGCATTTGGATCACTTACATAATTAAAACATTTTTGCTTCTAATGATCCATCTTTGTCCCCTTCTGTGTGTCCTCTCAGTGAGCCAATCTGAACTCTAGGGGATAGGAATTTCAGTGGTCATACCTAGGGTTGACTGTGTTTCCTCCTCATCTAGAGGACTTAAATTTGATCCTGAAACCCTATGAACTTCTTGAAAGTTTTCTAAGGCTGAGAGAACACAGAGGTAGGCTGAGCTTGCAGCTCTCCTGGAGTGGCCACTATTTGAAGCACTCTAATGTTATGGTGTATTGCTACATCTGAGGCAGACAGAGCTGACTCTCTGGAGATGAGCTCTGAGGCTTGACTACATTCCCATTACATCAGAACCTGGACTGACTTACAGTGTTTGTACCTATTGTGTGTTCAAGACCACCCTGAGGTTCATGATTTGCTCAAAGAATTCATAGAATTCAGAAAAGCTGTTATACCTGTGGCAGTGGTTTATTGCAGTAAAAGTATATGGATTAGAATCAGCAAAGATAAGAGGCACTTAGGGCAGAGCTCAGGGGAGACCAGGAACAGGCTTCCAGTTGTCCTCTTCTGGTGGAGTAGTATGTGGTTGTTGTTACTTAGTTGCTAAGTCACCTCCTACTCTTAGCTACCCCATGAACTGTAGCCCGCCAGGCTCCTCTGTCCATGGGATTTCCCAGGCAAGAATACTGGAGTGGGTTGTCATTTCCTTCTCCAGGGGATCGTCCTGACCCAGGAGTTGAACCCGAATCTTCTGCATTGGCAGATGGATTCTTCACTGCTGAGCCACCAGGAAAGCCCAGTGGAGTCATGTGGACAGTGCTTAATTCTCCCAGCAGTGATGTATGACAACATGTACAAATTACTGTAGACCAGGGAAGCTCACTGAGCCTTGTTGTCCAGGGTTTTTATTAATTGTTTTATTTTCTTTTCTTTTTTTAATTGTTTTTTTTTAATATTTATTTATTATTTTGGTTACTCTGGATCTTAGTTGCGGCAAGTGAACTCTTAGTTGAGGCATGTGGGATCTAGTTCCCTGTCCAGGGATTGAACCTGGGCTTCCTGCATTGGAAGCACAAAGTCTTAGCCACTGGACCACCAGGGAAGTCCCTATTAATTGTTTTAAAAAATAATTTTATTTATTTTTGATTGTGCTGGATCTTCACTACTGTGCAGATTCTTCCCTAGTTGTGGTGAGTGAGGGCTACTCTCTAGTTGTAGTGCACCAGGTTCTCTTATTGTGGAGCTCAGGCTCTAGGCTCATGGACTTCAGTACCTGTGTCTCAGTTTTGATCCTATGTAAAGAATCTTCATTGGCAAGCATGCAAATTCTTTACCACTGAACCACCAGGGAAGTCCCAGGGGTTTTATTGAGGATAATTATGTAGGCATTAAGCATACAGGTAGCTGACCTGAGTTCCCAGCCTCTCCAGAGATCACACTGATACAACATGACCGTGAATCATGTTAGTGTAGACTAGCTGGCCTGGTACAAGGCCTAAGGTGGACAAAGACTCTTAGCAGTCAGGATATCCCAAGGGCTTAGAACTGATGCTTCAGAAGCCAGTCAAAGGCCAGACCTTTCTTTGGAATATGTAGTCTGGAAACCCAGGCCTGCCAAGTTAATCCTTTACAACACCATACCTTCCCAGGATAGCTCCAGACTTTATCCTCAAAGGACAAAATAATGCTCTGATACTATTACTGTAACCACCTCGCCTCAACCCCATTCTCTACCAGAGAGGAGACTACCACTTCCTGGCAGCTATGTTTAAAAAGTTCAATTTGCCTAAAGATAGTAAAGATGTAGTGAGACTGAAAACCTCATCAATTAAAGATCCACCAGGTCAGATCTGATTTTTTTAAAAAAAGAGACCTTGAGTTTAATATTAGTGATGACCAGAGGTCAAAGAGGAAATAGGGCAGGAAGGAAACTGTCTTGGCTATAGAAGAGAAACATGAGAGATCCTTTCAGATGGAAATTTTTTCTATCTTGACTGTGTCAATGTCTGTGTCGATGTCAATATCCTGATTGTGATACTGTTCTAGAATTTTGCATGATGTTACGATTGGTATAAACCAGGCCAAGGATACATGGGATCTCTCTGTATTGTTTCTTACAACTATATATAAATCTATAATTGTCTTGTTAGAAAAGAAAAAGACACTGAGTTTGAAATTTTGTCATTTTGCAGTTCCTTTGAACTTCAAACCACTTGCTCTTGTTAATTAAGATAGCAAATGTTTGCCAGTCTTTGTGCTTTGAACAAGATGTACCAAAATTGAGGTCTAGCCCAATGTTAGTAAAAAGGCATGTTCTATGATTTTGTTGGACAGGCTTATTTTGCTCCATTTGGGTTTCTTGTAATTAAGTATGTGGCTGCCAAATGATTAACAAGTACCTGCTATGCAATATGAATTTAAGAACTAAAGCTTTGGTGAAACTTCTTTTAAAGGGAGGAGGATTGAATACTGTTTCCTTGGAAATCTAATTTATTGGTACTTGTGGTCTTTCCAGGTACCTGCGGTCATTAGTTCAGAACTTGTTGTTAATTCAGCGTTTCAAGAAACCCATTATTGAACATTCACCCAGGCAAGAACGGCTGAACTTCTGGCTAGATATAATTTTTGAGGCAACAAATGAAGTTACTAATGGACTCAGATTTCCAGTAAGAAACACTAAATCTTGAATATAAAAAAGAAAGTGGGATTGGTACTGTCAAATTATTGAATACTCTGAAAGGAAGAAAACTTTAGAATAATTGAAAATGTTAAGAGATTCATCAGTCTTATGCAAAGTCAGCCAGTGAGAGATCAACTCACTAGAAAAGGTTGGCTATATCCTTTAAAATAGTGGTTCTCAACTAGGAGTGGTTTTTGTCCCCAGAGGGCATCTGGCAGTGTCTAGAGACAGTTTGGGTGTCATGCTGTGGGGAAGCTTTTGCTACTGGCAGCTAGTGGGGTGGAGACCAAGGACACCACTAAACCTCCCACAAAGATGAGACAGCCTCCTGCCCCCATCACACAATTACCCAGCCCCAAATGTCCATAGTGTTGTGGGGGAGAAACTCTGTTCCACAACAGTGCACCACTAATAGTAAAATTTTGGAATTTTACTGCTCCTCCCCCTCCCTCTCCCTCAGCACAATAAAATGTAACTCATGGACTGTCACTTCATTCTGCATCCTCTTGCATTTTTTGCAGACTCAGGTACCTACCTGTGGATCCTCCAGTTTACTTCCTCATTTCTCTCAAAATCTGTAGTCTTCCTTGTTCTCTGTGACCTCCTCGGGCAAGCTGTTCTTGGCCACTCTATCTAATAAACAAGTGTCTCCCCCACCCCACCATTTTTCTTTCTTATTTTCTATATGTTCCCTTATTGCATATCCACCAGTAGGTGCTCAGAGAGGGTCTGTGGAGTCCAGAGCTCCCCACTTGCTCACTGGGCAGGGTGAGCTCTGCAACATGTTCCCACGCATCACAAGAATCGGTTCTGTTCTTTTAGGTTTTGGTGATAGAACCAACCAAAGTCTACCAGCCATCGTATGTCTCCATAAACAGTGAAGCTGAGGAGAGGACCGTTTCTCTGTGGCATGTCTCACCCACAGAAATGGTAAGAAAACAATCATAAAGAGCTCTCTGTTTGTTCTGTATCATTTAATTAAAAATTCAGTTTTCATGTAGGAGAGTTAACTATATTGTGGTACTTGAAAGAAGGCACCTGTGCTTAACTTCTGAGTGACAGAAGTATATGAGAGAGTGTAATCACAGTTGGAAAAAGGAAGCAAGGTATTTATATATATGTGTGTGTGTGTGTGTGTGTATGTAATTATTTGTATTATATGGTACCTATATGTGTGTATGTGTGTATATATATGAATGAATGCAAGCTTGTTGATAAAGAAGTTAAAACATGAGGAAGTGGATAAAGAATAAAGTAAAAGTCCCTTCAGATCCCTCAAACCTGTTCTGTATTCCCACCAGTGATGTCCATGTATACTTTTCTCTAAGCTCAGTTATATATGTATATTGTGTGTGTACATATACCTGTTATATATATATCTATACACACACACATATAGACAGCATGAGAAGCATTTTCATTAAAGTGAGATCATATGGTGAGACTTGTTACTTTGCAGCTTACCCTTTTTAAGTGATGCATACACCATGGACAGTTTTCATATGGCGTACAGTGATCCACCTGATTTTTTAAAATGTAAAATCCCTATATTCCCATGTCACAGTGGTGCATTTCTGAGTATTCATGAGCCATAGTTTATTTTACCACTTTGCTGCTAATGCACACTTAGGTTTCAATTTTGCAGTCTAGCCTATTGTAAATACACTGGTTCATATCCTGACAGTTACATCCTACCATGCACCTGTAGATTTTTCAGGACCAAAGAGTCCCAGAATTTGACCTGCTGGATTCAAGACTATATATGTTTAAAATTCAATAGCTACTGTCCAGCTTGTACCATTCCAGTTCACACTCAACACCAGCAATGCAGGAGAGAAAACATTTTCATTGCCCCTTAAAGATATTACACAAAGCTGGGCCAGGCCTCATGTTTTGTTTCATGAAGTATATTTTCATCTCTATGTGTCTGAAGTACTTCATCACAGTTTTCCTTTAATAAAATGTTTTGTAGTAATAAGTAGCACCTTTGATAAGCTCATTAGATAAATCTGTTTTCTGTCTTTGTTTCTATGGAGTAGGGGGAGAGTTCTGCCTTCAACTTGGCAAAGAAGGATTCCCCCCCCCCCCCGCCCCCGGAAACAAGAGTGTGAGCAATTATGTCTTAATAATTTTTTTTAAAAAGCTGTATCTTCAAAAGTAAAATAGAACATCAGAGAATAAGAAGAGTTTCAAAATCATACTAGAAACTCTTTATCAGAAATAGTCTTGATACAACAACTTTCCATTGCTCAGTAGGTGTAAAGTTTTAGTTATGCTTGATAAATATGGCCATATAGGCCGTTACAGAGTATTGAGTAGAGTTCCACATGCTGTTCAGTAGGGCTTATTAGTTATCTGTTTTCTATGTAGTACTGTATATGTGTCAATCCAGTCTTCCAATTTATCTCTCCTCCCCCCTTATCCCTCAATAACCAAAAGTTTATTTTCTACATATGTAACTCTGTTTGGTAGATAGTTCATTTGTAGCCTGTTTTTATATTCCACATGAGTGATACATATTTGTCTTTCTCTGTCTGACTGACTTCACTCAGTATTACTTATCTCTAGATCCATATTGCTGCAAATGGCATTATTTCATTCTTTTTACTGGCTGAGTGGTATTCCACTGTATATATGTATCACATCTTCTTTATCCATCCCTCTGTTGATGAACGATTAGGTGGCTTCCGTGTCCTAGATATGATAAACAGTGCTGCAGTGAACATTGGGGTGCATGTGTCTTTTTAAAAAATTTTTTTTTAAAATTATGTATTTTTGGCTGTACCAGATTTTCTTCGCTGTACATGGGCTTTCTCTAGTTGCAGCAAGCAGGGGCTGCTCTGTAGTTGTGGTCTTCAGGCTTCACATTGCGGTGGCTTCTCTTGTTGTGGACCATGGGCTCTAGGGCATGTGGGCTTCAGTAGTGGCGGCTTGAAGGCTCTAGAGTGCATGCTCAGTAGTTGTGGTGTGGCCCAGTTACCCCAGGGCATGCAGAATCCTCCTGTATCATGGATCGAATTCATGTCCCCTACGTTGGCAGGCAGATTCTTAACCACTGAACCACCTGGGAAGTCTGCATGTATCTTTTTGAATTGTGTTCTCCAGATATATGCCCAGTAGTGGACTTGCTGGATCATATGGTAGCTTTAGTTTTAGTTTCTTAAGGAACCTCCATACTGTTCTCTGTAGTGGCTGTACCAAGTTACATTCCCACCAACACTGTGGCAAGGGCAAGGTTCCCTTTTCTCCACACCCTCTCCAGCACTTACTGTTTGTAAACTTTTTGATGATGGCCATTCCAACAGGGTGTGGACACCTCATTACTTTGACAAGTATTAATAGTTACGAAAAAAGCTGATCCTATTAAAGGGAGTCTTCAGACTTTTAGAGCAAAAAGGTTTTGTTCTTGTGGAATTCTGTAATGGTTGCAAGTCTTTAATGGAACTTTCCATTGGTACGTATAACATCTCACTAGTGGTAAATGTTTTGCTTTGTTTGTACATAGTCTGTAATAAGAAATGGAAGGAACTATATAAGCAGCAAATGCTAGTTTTCCTTGACTGATGAAATGTTTTGCACAGTGCTTGGTAGTTGTCAGAGCAAATGTCTGAGAGAAATATAAATTGCCTTTTTTCTTTGAGAGGAAGGCTTTGCTTTTGCTTTCATTTACATTTTTGAAATTCTGCAGATTGTAAAAGCAAGCAGATTAGTCCAGAGTGAAATAATACTTCTCTACATGGATTTGCAGTTTTTCCCGGTGGGCTATGGGTGGTGGGAAGCCATCGCACACAGGCACACGTTCACCTGCAGACAGCACTGCTGTACCATGAGATGAAGCTCTGGTTCATTGGCCAAGGATTCAGAAACTTAGGCTGGTGAATGTTTAACCACCAGCTCTCTAGGGGATGTGGGAGCAGAGGGCGATTTGTTGTGTTTACTGAGCTCTGTGGTGCAAATACTCTCATCCTGGCCAGTTTCCAGCAACTTGACCATGGTCGAGTCACCACACACAGGGTTAGGAGGAGATGTGCAGGATTGGCCTCCCAAGCTGGCATGAGCTGTGCCCAGCACAGCAATGCAAGGGGGGCTGCACAGAGCAAGAACAAATAGTGTTTCTCCTTCAGCTCCTCTTGGGCCCGGACAGATGCATCGTGGCCCCATCACTGTCCATACAGGTAGGGCTGCTGGTTTTGGAAAGCTCTTTGCAGGGGGGTGCCATTTATACTTATATTAGCCACCGGAACATCTTACACAAAAAGTCAATCTTTTAAGAACAGCAACAAAGCCTATGCTTTTAACACAAAAAGCTCCCCTCCCATCTGGGGGTAGGAGGGCAGAGGCTGAGTCAGCTCCAAGGGGATTCTGAAGGCACCCCTTCTCTGACTTCCCAGCCCATTTCTCCAGAGCCCACTCTGGCTCTGCCTCCAGTGCATGCTTACTGGGGGCTTCAGACGCCGTGGAAAGCTAAAATTGTGAGTCTACTTCCTCATCATGGTTTAGTGAAATATCCCCTCTCAGGAAGGACTAAAATGCTGCCGAGCAGGAGGCTTGGGGCAGGAGGACAGTCACAACTGTCCTGACTGACCTGCCAGGACCCTGGGTCAGGAGCCATGCACCCAGGGTAGCCGTTGCTTTTGGGTCGACAGGAGTGACTGGGAACAGGGGTGTGAGGGGGGCTTCTGGGCTGCTGCTGAGGTTCTGTCTCTTGGTGTAGATGCTGGTTACAGTAGGTGTTCATTTTGCGGAAATTTGTTGAGATGATCACTGTACCCTTTTCTGAATGTATGTTGTATTTCAGCTTAAGAGTTTAATCATAATTTTAGAAACCCTCGTAGTGACCTTGTTGATATTCCCAGATCATTACTGGATCCTGTGACTTTCCAGATAAAGCTCAAACTTATTTTTAAGGTTTTTTTTTTTTAATGTGGACCATTTTTAAAGTCTTTATTGAGTTTGTTACAATATTGCTTCTGTTTTATGTTTTGTTTTTATGGCCCTGAGGCCTGTGGGATCTTTTTTAAAATTTTATTTATTTTAATTGGAGGATCTTAACTTCCTAATCAGGAATTGAACCCACACTCCCTTGCATTGGAAGGTGAAGTCTTAACCGCTGGACGGCTATGGAAGTCCCCCGAATTCAAACTCTTTTCCCAGGTGTCAAGCACCTATATAACCCTGCCCCTCCTTGCTCCTCCTCCCCCTCCCCGACCCTCAGCCCAGCCAGACCTTCGTCCATCATTGCACAGGCCAAAGCTGGCCCTGTCGGGGTTCACATGTACATTTCTGTTGTCTTTCTCCCTCCCTGGAATTCATTCAACCCAAGTTCTAACTTCTGCAAAGGTGTCTCTAAGCACACTTTCCCTTCTTGCACTGAATGTCTGTTGGCTGCCCAAAAGTCTGTATCATGTACAAAGTACGTCCTGTCTCGTTTATCCACTTCCCTAAGTGTCTACCCAACTGCTGGCAAGCCTGTGCTTGACTTCTATATTTTTATATCCATAGACCTACAAAGCAGGAACCCCCTCCAATGCCTGTTGCTAATGATATAAAGGGAAAGATGGGAGGTCTGTGTGGTTTACTTCTTAACCAATAAATCTTCCTCCCAAATCAAGAAGTTCCCTAAAGCTACCCAGAGTATACCTCCCATCTGGGAGAACTTTGAAAACTTGTGTGACTGAGCTTTCTGTATACATGCAGCTTCTTGCCGGTGTATGTGGGTCAGACAAGGTTCTTCCGAATCTGCCAGGGCTCCTATTTCTGTACCTGAATCCAGAGCAGACTCCTATTCTCCACCACTACTCTCTTTGAGTGACTCAGAACACACCTCTCCTTTGAAATACATGCAGGCTTTCTATTCCGATAGCTCTGTGGTTGGCTTTCATGTTTTCATCCACGTTCACAGCTCTCAGTGATTCTCACACACGGTGGCGGCTCAAGTCCTAATGATGGCCTCCCAAGGCCTGCATGATCTCCTGAGCCCCCTCTCTCACTCCCCTCCAGCCTCACTCCCCTCTGTGCTGGTCCCCAAACATGGCAAGCACACTGCTGCCTCAGGGCCTTTGCACTTACTGTTTCCTCTGCCTGGAACTGGCCCCCCACTTATCTGAACGGTTCATTCTCTCACCCCCTTTAGCTTTCTGCTTGAAAAATCATGACTTCTTGCCCCACCTTACCAGCCTTTGCTGTGTTATTTGTCTTCATAGCACTTTTCACCCTCCACCAAGTTCTTCACTTACAATTTGATTTATTGCCTATCTATCTCCCCTCACTTGAATGTAAGCCCCATGAGGACAGGGGTTTTGTCATTGCCTGTCATGATACATACCAGGGCTGGTACATTGCATGGAGTATAGTAGGTGCTTCATCAAGATGTCTAAACCGTGCTTCTCCCATTGGGAACTGTTCTCCCAGCTGTGCCTGTTGCTGTCGCTCTAGGACAGCAGGAAACTTGTCCCCTGACCGCTTGTGGCTGTTCTCCTGGACCATATGCTCATTCATTTGCCTCTCACCTCTGTGAGGCTTTGCTGGTCATTTAAGCCAGGAGTCCCCAACCTCTGCGGTTTAATGCCTGATGATCTGAGGTGGAGCTGATGTAATAATAATAGAAATAAAGTGCACAATCAAAGTAATGAGCTTGAATCATCCCCAAACCATCCCTTCCACCCCAATCATGGGGGGGGGGAATGTCTCCCATGAAATGGGTCCCTGGTGCCAAAAAGGTTGGGGACCACTGCTTTATGGCATTCCTCAGGCTAACCAAATATATTTTCTTAGTTAAAATGGTTCTCTGTTGTATTGCTGTGGTAACCTGTGACTCTTCTAAATCTGAGAATTCAGACATTCTTTCTGAGGCTCAACTTTGTGTAAAGTTTAAGGGCAAGGTGTTGGTGGAGGAAGAGGACAGAGTTGTATATGTATTTCTTAAGTGTTTCTTGTACAGATTGAAATCCTAGTTAGTCTTTGTATTAATCATGGCAGGTTAAATACTACCAAATATCCCCCAAATGGAAACTAGCCCCCCAAATAGCAGTTTATCTATGATGATAAAAGTTTATCTCTGCCTCGTGTCATGTCTGGTCTGGAAGGGCTCCCATTGCATCTGGTAGTGGATGGGGAAAGAGAACAGAGAGGAGAGGGTTACTGCGGAGGTTTTGTGAGCCAGGCCCACAGGTGGCACACTCTTGTTCACATCCCATTGGTCAGAACTCCTTCATATGACCACACCTAGCCACATAGGAAGCTGGGAAGTGTAGTCTATCCAGGTACCCGGGGGGAAAAGAGAGATTGATGAATACTGTCTGGTGTCTGCCACATTCTTGCCTCTCCAAACATTTTTGTCAGTCATTCAACTTGGGTGGGCTGTTCCCAAACTTCTCTTAGAGTTTTCCTGGTGTGTTGACAGAAAATGAAAGGCCACTCACTGTGTACGTACAGTGTGCCTATTGTTTCTGTTTCAAATTTAGATTGTTAGTTCTGAACTGGATTAGAGACACAAATGAATTTTTACAATATGGAAAATGTTTCTCGTGTTCCAACTTATGCAAACTACTTTGCTTTAAGTGCTAAATTCTACTGAAAGTAAAAAAGAGCAGAAGTGATTCACCATACAATGAGACCAAAAATGATTCTTTACATGGAAAAGATCAAGATACTGACTTTTGTCCTTGAATCTTGCAGAAACAAATTCATGAATGGAATTTTACAGCTTCTTCCATTAGAGGAATAAGGTAAGAGCATAAGAGAAATGTCATTATTGTTTTAATACAAATAATGATGTTTTAATCACCTTAATGTTTCTATTTAGTTATAATATGTGATGGTCTCATTTTCAACAGAATCCAAAACAGACTTTTCTCAGGTCTCCCCATGCCCAAACTTGTTTATAATGTGCTGCTAGTAATGGCTTCTTGGCTTGTTATAGCAGAGCAGCTGCTATTGTATCCAACAGACAAAACTCTCTTGTCTCAAACTGATTTTAAAAATGAAGTTATGTGTGTAGAGAGAGAAAGTGTTTCTTCTTTAAACCAATGATGTTCAAGTGCTCAGAGACCCCCAGAGCTGCAGCTGGGAGTTACATGGTAACTGGGCTCTCCTGGGCAGAGTAATGGAGCCAAGGGCATTGCTATTAGCAGGTGGGTAGGGCGTATATTCCTGGGAGAGGTCTGCCACTTGCTATTTGGTTCAGGAGTGGTGGCCATTTGGGTCTGAACTGTGTGGCTACACTCTGAGTCTGACCCTGCCAGCCCGCCCAAGGGAGGGAGCAGCTCTGGAGTAGATGTGAGTTCTACTCCCTCTTTTGCTGTTTGACCTTGAGAAAATCACTCAACCTCTCTAGGTTTCAGTACCTTCATAGTTTCTCTGATTCTGAGATCACAGGCCACTGAATGAATCCCTGTTATACCTCTAGACGTAGCATGATCCTTTCCTAGACGTTGTTGTTCAGTCTCCATGGACTGTAGCTCACCAGGATCCTCTGTTGGTGGGGTTTCCCAGGCAAGAATACTGGAGTGGGTTGCCATTTTCTTTTCCAGGGGATCTTCCCGACCCAGGGGTCAAACCCGCATCTCCTTCATTGGCAGGCAGGAGTGGTATTTATCTCACTTTTAAAGGGAGAGAAATCATTGAAGAACAGAGTCATGTGTTTGAATGACACTGCTCAGAAAATTTAAGATAATTCAAAAGGTGTTGAACATTCTCAAAAATGTACTACTCAGAAACTAAGTTGTATGTTAACATACAGTCAAAAACCTTCTGTTTGTACCATCTCATAGACATACCTCTTGCTGCCATTTCAACCATCAACAGGGATGTATGTGCAAAGGGCTTGGGGTGAACCAAACCCTGGAACCAATGTGACATGAAGAGCATGTGTTGAGCATTCCCAGTGCTATCCAAATAACTATGGTAGTTCCTTTAAAGATTGGTTTTCAAAAGTTACTCATGTATAACCTAGTTCTGATTCACTTTGAATCACCCTGTACTATTAATTGTGTCTACTTGTTGTCATGTAATCCATAACATGTAAGATATGGTCAAAGAAGCTATGACTTCAGGAAGAGATGAATTAGAAAGAGCAAGATAAAGTGGCCTCATTTATTCAAAGGGCTAATCATAGAAGGGAATGTAGCCTTTTGCAGTCTTTGGCACAGTGCAGGTAAAGAACTTTCTAGCTATGAAACCCATCAGGAGATGGACTATAATAATTTTCTGTCTCTGGGGATTCCAGGCACAGTGAACTTTGCCTGTTTGAAAAGCTGTAGAGTCAGATCCAGGCCTTTGGTGTGGATATGGACCAGATATCTAAAGGCCTTTCTTGAGCAAAGTGGTCATGTTTATTTCCATTTGCTTTATGTGACCACAGATGCTATGCCATTTTTCAAGTCCAGAAATTTCTTTGATACCATAATAAATTATTTCACAGGTACGTTTTTATGACCTTATAAACTCTTGAAGATAGAGATCATATTTTATTCCACTTCTTCCTTCCCATATGCTTTGCTTAGCACTGAATATATAGTAAGTTCTTAAAGTATAATAAAGTCTGTCAATGAATACAGACTCAAACATAAGCAAGATTAAATGCCCCTCTGATTTAAATTTCATGGAGAAATTGGAGTCATTTTGGTGTGGGGGAGATTTGTTAAAGCAGTAATGAAACTTTCAGATTTGTAAACTGGAAAAAAAGCTGTTACTAGATTTTTATCCAACAATTTAAATTGATATCAAACTATATAAATAAGCTTTCTTGTGTTTTGAAATTTTATAGCATATCCAAGTTTGATGAACGGTGTTGTTTTCTTTACGTCCATGATAATTCTGATGACTTTCAAATCTACTTTTCCACTGAAAACCAGTGCAGTAGGTGAGTTTTAATCTGATTCAGATATTTTCAGTCTGATAATGGTGGATGACTTTTAATGGGTCTCTGTTGTGAAAAATATTTGCTACACTGCTTTCCTTGAAGTTTTACCTTATGGGAAATAATTTTTACCGCTTTATTGAGATGTAATTCGAATAGCATGCAATTTTCTCATTTTAAATTGTACAGTTTCATCTTTTTTTATATCCACAGTTCTGCAGCCATCACCGTAGTCTAATTTTAGAATATTTTCATCACCCCTAGAAGAAACCTAGTATCCGTTAACAGTCTCTGCCCATTTTCTCTCAACTTAAACCTCCAATCTCAGTCCTGTACAGACACTGAATCTACTTTCTGTCTTTATGAATTTGCCTATTCTTGATGTTTCATATATATATAATCATATAATACATGAGCTTTTGTGACTGGAATCCTCCATTTTTCATAAAGTTTTCAAGTGTCATCCATGTTATAACATGATTCAGAACTTCATTCCTTTTTGTGGCTGAATAATATTCCATTGTCTGGATATATTTGATTTGTCTGTTCATCACTTGAAAGGCATTTGGGTTATTTTCACTTTTTGGCTATTGCAAATAATGCTGCCATGAACATTCACATGCAGGTTTTCCTGTGAACTTAATGTTTTAATTTCTCTTGGAGTCAAATTACTGGGTCTTACAGTAATTCTGTATTTAACTTTGAGGAACAGCCAGACTATTTTCCCAGTTGACATTCCCATCAGCAATGTATGGGGGTTCCAATTTCACCACATCCTCCTAATACTTGTTATTGTCTGTCCTTTTTATTGTAGCCATCATACTGGGTGTTAGGTAGAATCCCATTGTGGTTTTGTTTTGCATTTCCCTAACGACTAATAGCTTTTCTTCCAAGGAATAGTGTCTTTTAATTTCATGACTGCAGTCACCATCTGCAGTGATTTTGGTGCCCCCCAAAATTAAGTCTGTCACTGTTTCCACATATTAAAAAGAAGAGACATTACTTGGCCAACAAAGGTCCATCTAGTCAAAGCTATGGTTTTTCCAGTAATCATGTATGGATATGAGAGTTCGACTATAAAGAAAGCTGAGCACCGAAGAATTGATGCTTTTGAACTGTGGTGTCAGAAAAGACTCTTGAGAGTCCCTTGGACTGCAAGGAGATCCAGTCAGTCCATCCTAAAGGAAATCAGTCCTGAATATTCATTGAAAGGACTGATGTTGAAGCTGAAACTCCAATACTTTGGCTACCTGATGTGAAGAACTGACTCATTGGAAAAGACCCTGATGCTGGGAAAGATGGAAGGCGGGAGGAAAGGGGGACGACAGAGGATGAGATGGTTGGATGGCATCACCAACTCCATGGACATGAGTTTGAGTAAACTCCAGGAGTTGGTGATGGACAGGGAGGCCTGGTGTGCTGCAGTCCATGGGGTTGCAAAGAGTCAGACACGACTGAGTGACTGAACTGAACAACTAATAATACTGAGCATCTTTTCAGGGTCTTATTAGCCATTTATGTATCTTCTTTGGAGAACTATCTACTCAAATTCTTTGCCGAATTAAAACAAGTTTTTAACTTTTTATTTTGGAACATATTCAAACCTATAAGAATGGTTCAAAAGATAGTACAAAGAATTTCCATATTTCACTAAGAACGTCCCAGTGTTAACCATTTGTGACCACATTTGTTTTACATTCTCTCTGTAGACAGATGACTCTTTTGTTCTGAACTGTTGAGGAGTAAGTTGTAGACATGATGATCCATCACCTCTCAGTACTTGAGTGCATGTTTCCCTAAACACAAGAACATTTGCTTATGTAATCACAGTACTGTTATCAGAACAGGAAATAAAAATTGATGTGGCGCTATCACTTATAAACCTTATCCAAATTTTATATATTGTCTCACTGATGTCCTTTATAGTGAAACAAAAAAATACTTTTTCTCTGGCTCATGATCTGATCCAGGATCACATGGGAACATTTAGCTGTCACATCTGCATAGTCCTCTTCAAAGACTACAGACAGTTTATCTTATACGATCCTTCAGTTAGGGTTAGTTTGCTGTTCCCCCATGAATACGTTAATGTTTTGCATTTGGGGTGGGAATACCATGGATGTGATGCCATATCCTACTCACTATATCACATTGGGAAACATCCAATATCTTTGTCTCATTACTGGTGACATTAAGTTGGCTCACCTGGCAAAAGTTTGACAAGTTTCTCTGAATTTTGCCCATCTTTAATTGGGTGGTTGGTATTTTTGTTAATGAGTTTTAAGAGTTCCTTTTACATTCTGGATACAAGGCCCTTATCAGATGTATGAATTGTCAGTGCTTCCTCCCATCCTGTGGGTTTTCTTTTTACTCTGCTGATGGTGTCATTTGCAGCATGAAAGTTTTAAATTTTGTGGCAGTCCAGTCTATTTTTTCTTTTGTCATTTGTACTTTTGATGTCATATCTAAGAGGGCTTTGCCTAACCCAAGATTTTCTCTATAGTGTTTGTTTTCTTTGAAGGGTTTTATAATTTTAGCTCTAATATTTAGGTCTCTGATCCATTTTGAGGTTTCTTTTTATATAATATGAGGTAGGGAGTCCAACTTCAATCTTCTACATGTGGATATGTGGTTATCTAAATACTGTTTGTTGAAAAGACTGTTTCTTCTTCCATTGAATGGTGTTGGCACTTTTTAAAAAAATTAGTTGACCATAAATGTAAACATCTATTTCTTGACTTTCACTTTTGTTCCATTGATCTGTATGTCTATCCTTTTGATGCTTCCACAGTTTCTTGATTATTGTAGTATTGTAATAAGTTGTAAAATCAGAAAATGTGAGTCCTCCAATTTGGTTCTGTTTCTCATAGTCATATTAACTGTTGCTGGTACTCCCATGTCTGTGTGAATCTTAGGATCAGCTTGTTAATTTCTTCAGGAAAGGTCGCTAGGGTTTTGGCAGGTATTACACTGGATATGTAGATCAATCTGAGAGGCTTTGCCATCCTAACCATATTAAGTCTTCCATCCATACCTTTTCTTTCTATTTGTTTAGGTTGTCTTTCTTTTAACAATTTTTGTTGTTTCAATGTATAAGTCTTATACTTTTTGGTTAAATATATATATATATATGTATGTATGCATCTTCTTATTTTTGATACTAATATAAGTGGAGTTTTTCAAATTTCATTTTCAGATTGTTCATTGTTGGTGTATAGAAATACACTTGATTTTTGTATATTGATTTAGTGTCCTACAAATTGGCATTCACTTATTAGTTCTAATCGTTTTTATTGCATTCCTTAGGATTTCCTGTACACACAATCATGTCATCTGCAGAGAGCGATAGTTAAGAATTCTTCCTTTCCAACCTGGATGCCTTTTTTCTTTCTTCTTGTCAAATTGTCCCGACTAGACTCTCTGGTGTAATGTTGAGTAGAAGTGGTGAGAGAAGACATCCTTGACTTATTCCTGAACTTAGGAGAAAAGCATCTAGTCTTTCACCATTAAGCATGATATTACTGGTATGTTTTTCATAGATAAGCTTTATCAGGTTGAGGAAGAGTCCTTTATTCATAGTTTGTTGAGAGCTTGCATCATGTAATTTGAGAACGTTTTATTTCAGTGTGTCTCAGATAGTTATTATCACAACGTATTTAGAAATCAGACAAAATGTCAGCCCAGGGAATCCTTGGGTCACAATTTTCAACTTAGACTTGGAAAATGCTGTCAAATGTCATGTAGAACAAACTTTTACTCCAAAGTTTAACTTCCTGACTCTCATTCTGTCCCCAGTGGCTTTTCTTGCCGTGTGTTTAAATTGTTTTTTAATTGAGATGTCACGTACTTACAAGTGAAGTGCATACAGTGTGTTAAGTGTACAGCACCCCGAGCAGATGCCCCATGCCCCTTCCTAGTCATTAAACCCATTCCCAGTGGTAGTTATTTTTATTTCTTTCATCAATAGTTAGTTTTGCCTGTTCTTAAACTTCAAATAAATAAAATCATAAAGTAGGTACTCTTCTTTCTCACTTCTTTCTCTGTGATTTCAGCCATGTTGTATTAGTTCATCTTTTTTTTCACTTTGTAGTGTTCCACTGTGAATATATGTGACAGTTTATCTGTTCTAGCGAACATTTGAATTATTTCCAATTTGGAGCCATTATCATCAAAACTGCTGTGAACCCCCTTGTGCATGCCTTTCAGTGAACATATTCATTGATTTCTGTACAGTATGTACTTATTAATGGAGTTACTGGATTATGGGGGAGGGTTATATTCAGCTTTGGTGGATACTGCCAGTACTTTTCCAAAGTGGTCATATCAATTTATACTCCCACCAGTTATGTATGAGGGTTCCAGTTATTCCATGTTCTCAACATTTGACCCTGTGTTTTCAATGTTAGCCTGTTGAGTGCATACCATATGTTTCCTAAGAAGCCTGACTTATCATGTTTCCCAGCTTTCAAAGATGAGAAGAAGTGGAGATGGGATGTGTTAGAAGAACATTTTAATGTTTTGTAGAAATTACCTTTAAGTCTGCAGTATTCTTCCCTGCTACCCTAAGAGAGAATACTGAATACAGACCTTCTGAGGCAAGTCGTTTGTATGCAAAGAAACAACTACACAAGTTTAGGGAGTGGCTGATGTGGCTCAGCCAGCATTTGTGAGGAAGATCTATGGGTTAGAGTTGATATTAAGCTTAGTCTACACGAACAGAATGATGAGGTTGTCTTATGCATTTCCTTCTCACCCTCCCCTTATGCAGGACCTTATTTGTCACTAAGAGCTAGAGTGTTGGCCACTTGGGAGGTGATGGTCGCACTATCCTTCGTGCTCATGCTCAGGTGCTCAGTTGTGTCACAACTCTTTTATGACCCCACGGACTATAGCCTGCCAGGTTCCTCTGTCCATGGATTTCCTAGGCAAGAATACTAGAGTAGGTTGCCATTTCCTCCTCCAGGGGACTTCCCTGACCCAAGGATCAAGCCCATGTCTCCTGTTTAGCAGACAGATTGTTTATCACTGAGCCACCTAGCAAACCCCACCCCCGGCAATATCCTCAGTGCTGATTAAATCAGCCCTGAAACACTTGTCTTGGGGCCAGACTTGAAGAAGAATGTAACACAGGGATACCTTTGAGGAATTACCAGTTAATGAAATGATTTATAAACAAGTACTAGGGGAAACACTGAGGGCACAAGAAGGAAAGACTTACAAGGACAAGATAGAATTATGTGTTGGGTTGGCCAAAAAGTTTCTTCCAGTTTTTTTTTTTTTTTCCCATAAGATGCTATGTAAAAGCCTGAACAAATTGTTTGGCTAACCCAATACCTATCTAATGGGCAGTTATGCACAAAAGAGACTAATTCTAAGCAGCCTGTCAATGGGACCCCCATAAAAGAAGTCTTAGTTCAATATAAGTGAAGCATTTCTCATCGAATTCACTGAAGTATGGGTTGCCTTGTAAGGTAATGAGTTCTCTGACACTGGGGGTGTTCAAGTATCAATGAGCCACCCAGTTGGTGGGGATGCTGTATAGAGGGGATTCCCAATTCATATGGATATTTAAACTAGATTAGATAGCCATATCAGAAAAGTACCATGTCAGTTCAAGGGGTAGAGTGATTGCTCTATAACTTGTAAAAGCTTGGTTTATATTTAATCACAGTTTAATGTAATAAGGCTAAGTTTGAGGTAAGGAATAGGAACGATCATAGTTAACAACATCTTTGTGATGTTTGGTGTTCTAGGTTTTGCTCTTTGGTCAAAGAGATGATAACCAATGGAGTGGGCAGCACAGTGGAGCTGGAGGGAGAGACTGATGGGGATACCTTAGAGGTGAGTCGCAGAAGACCTAGAACATGGAAAAAGTTATTTGTTGTGCTTTTGATACTTAAAGAAAGTGTCCCATTTTTGGTGTGAAAGTTCTTTGTGTGTATTTTTAAGTAATCATTCATGAACAAGCTAGCAAACACTATTCATGACTGTCAGAGATTAAATTTAATGCATCTCTATAGAAAAACCTCATTACTTTGGGACCCCATCAACCAGAATGTGTAAGAAAAATCTGACATGGACTAGACTAAAATTCCCTTTGGTGTACAACTGACAGAAAAGCTTTTTCTATGCTAATTAATAATATTTGTAAAACCACAAGAGAAATAGTTGGACAACTAGAAGCAGACTTTAGTTATATCTACTGCATATATTAAATATAATGATATTAATGTTCAGAAATTAATGTTAATTTCTTAATATTAAGAAAATAATATTCTGAAAGGATCATTGTAAGCTTTTTTTGGACAGCATAGTGATGGTTCACAGATACAACACCACTACACATGTGTTTAAATCCTGCACAATTTGTCAGACTTAACCACTAATTCAGGTCCATGTAACTTAGTGAGTTTTAATTATACTTTCAAGTGAGCTGAAATTAGTTCTTTGAGGTTTCTTTCAGAAAATATCAAAGGGATTCATTTTCATAATTGAATCAGGTACTCGAATTCTTAGCTTAAAATCAAAGTTAGTTGTAAAAACGAACTGAGTGATGCCCTTTGAAGGTAACAAATGTGGGGGCAGAGGAAGGTGGGAGATAAAAGCCTGTTATGAATGTCTGGTTGTCTGGCTGATGTCTGGTTAAATCAGACAGTGTTGGGACACACTAGTAATTGTAATTGTTGTGCACATCCCTAGACATGGATGGGAAGGGACATGTATGCATGTTCCATGCACTTCTGTAAGGAGGCATGGTGGGGCGTAGAAAATAACAGAAAGAATGTCTGACTACTTCTGCTTTAAATAAATATTGCTCAGCCTGGAGTTCCATTTGTTTTTATCACTGAGAAGAGTGAACTGGAATGAAGCTGTACAATTTTTTGTTACTTTATTTTTTTGGCCGCACCACGTGGCATGTGGGATCTTGGTTCCCCAACCAGGGATTGAATCCATGCCCCTGGCAGTGGAAGCACAGAGCCCTAACCACTGGACCACCAGCAAAGTCCCATAGGTTTTTGATAATAAGATTGGGGGAATAAAAGAGCAATACTAATGACAAGTGGAATTTTGCAGTGTTCAGTGCTAAATCTGTACCTCTAAAAGCCAGGGGTGAGGCAGCATGTGTACTTTGTATGAAATCAATTTTAGTTTTATTTGCCTTCAGTTCTTTTCTGGACTATATAGTAAGTGGTTGTTTTCCTGACAAGTTGATAGAAATCATGCAGGAAGGCACCTGTTTGTGGTACTCAACATACTTAGAAGCATTTTTATTTTATTTGTCTTTTTAAAAAAATTTAAATTTTTTCTTGGAGTATAGTTGCTTAGAAGTATTTTTAAAATTGCAGCATTAAAGTGGGGAGAGATCTCCAACAGGTCAGCTCACCAAGTTACACATGAGCTATAGTTTTAAATTTCTTGTATTTCATTTCATAAAACCATATTATGAATATATGAGTAACTGAGAACTCTACTCCTTGAAAGTAATTATTTAGTGAAAAATACTTAAGAAATGTAACCCGCCTGATACTCAAATAATGTTATTTGTAAATTTTTTTAAAATTGCAGGACAATGTGTGGGCTTTTTTATCTCATTACTTTTTCTTCTATAGTATGAGTATGACCATGATGTGAAAGGTGAGAGAGTGGTGCTGGGGAAGGGCACGTATGGAGTCGTGTACGCTGGCAGAGATCTGAGCAATCAAGTGCGAATAGCCATCAAAGAAATTCCAGAGAGAGATAGCAGGCAAGTCGGGGCGGGCCTTCTGCAGCTGCCACCTCCATACCCCAGGTCCCGTGTGCCCCACTGATGGTGCTGAGGAGGGAGTAAGGATGAAAGCTTTCTGTCATCAAAAAATTTCTAATTTTTTTTTCTCATAAGGGTGATCTGCTTTTGTGCCTGCATATTGTAAATAGATCAAGAAAATGGAACAGCTTCACTTACAGGCATGTGGATCGCAGAGTCACATTTTAAAAGAAGACTGTAGTTTTTTTCCCCGCCCATCAGGTAGAAATGAACATTTTTACATTGATATTTGTTTGCCAATATTTTAAAATGTGACTCAGTGCCTTAGTTCCCATTGTAACAATTTTAAATGGTTATTATATATTCAGATGTATCATTGCAGAAAATGTGGTAAAAAGAAATTTGGTTTTTTGCAACACAGACTTTTTTCTATACCCTGCCTTTCAACCTCATCCATAGATTTTAGAGTATTTTTTTAACCACTAGTACTAGCAATTTATTTCTCATACATTTTTTAGAGTGTTAACTAAATGTTTATTCCATTTAAAATTCATACACCTCCTAATTCTAAACAAGAGTGTGTTGACTGTCAAATGTTTCTGTAGAGAACATACACAACATACACAATAATGACTGTGGCATAAGAAACAATAGCTCCCTGTTCCACAGCCATGCTCTGACAATGTCTGCAATGTTGCCTTCAGTGATGGACGCTGATGGATATGTGCAAATATCCCTACAGCCAGGGGCTCAGTAAATTATTTGGGATAGATTAGAAATGATTTCTAGCTGCTGTAGAACCCTTCATTGGGCTTCCCTGGTGGCTCAGTGGTAAAGAATCCATCTGCAATGCAGGAGACTCAGGTTTGATCCCTGGGTCAGGAAGATCCCCTGGAGGAGGAAATGGCAACCCACTCCAGTCTTCTTGCCTGGAGAAATCCATGAACAGAGGAGCCTGGAGGGCTACAGTCCATGGAGTCATAAAGAGTCGGACATGACTGAGTGACTAAATGACAAGACTCTTCATCATTTATTCTTTTATTTATTCATGTGTTCATCCATTCATTTTTAATGGGATTGAGCGTTATGATATTTGAATTATAAGGCAGGGTCTGAAATGAACTCGTCCACCTTCTAAGGCTAAGAAGGTTAAATGATTTCTCCAAGGACATGAAGAAACAAGACTAGGATCCAGTGTCTTGAATTCCTCGTCCAGTATTCTGTCTCTTATTTTCACGATGGATGGGGTGTTGTAGTTGTTTGTTGGGAGAAGCTGCTGGCATGAACAAATGGTCTGCTGTGACTTGACTGTAAGATGTAGGGCACTGGGGGGCTCTTGGGACAAAGCAGACAGTTTTAAAGGTGTAGTCTGACCTGGGTTTGAAGGTCCTTGTGTGCCATGTTGAGCAGTGTGGTTTCTGTTGAATATTTATTTATTTTTCTGGCTGCATCGGGTCTTCGTTGGGGCCTGTGGGGTCCTGTACGCTGTGGCTTTGGATGTGGCATGTGGGCTCCAGAGAGCACAGGTTCAACAGTTGCAGCCTGCGGGCCCAGTTGCCCCGCAGCATGTGGGATCCTGGTTCCCTGACCAGGGATCAAACCCACCTCCCCTGCATTGGAAGGCAGATTCTCAACCACTGGACCATAAGGGAAGTCCCCAGCACTGAGGTCTTTATGTGGACTTTGTGAAGGGAAGTAATATGATGAGGTGTGCGTTTTAGGAAGGAGGATTGTGGCAGCTAGAGAACAGACCAAGGAGGCTAGAGGCTGAGGCTGGGAGGGCCATTAAGTGACTATTGCTGGAGTGAGTCTGCAGAGTAAGACTAGAACAGACGGGAAGCCGAGTAGTCTCCTGGGAGTCCGGGGAGAGAACATTCCTGGAAAGAAGGGATGGCCGGCAGCAGAGCAGGTACTGGCAGGGCACGATGTGGACCCCAAGCCCCAGGGAGCTGGCAGGTGACACTAGCTTTGTTTTTGCTCCCAGGTACTCCCAGCCTCTGCACGAGGAGATTGCCCTGCACAAGTACCTCAAGCACCGCAACATCGTTCAGTACCTAGGCTCCGTGTCCGAGGACGGCTACATCAAGATATTTATGGAGCAGGTGCCTGGGGGTGAGTGCTTGCTGGTCTTTTGGTCTCACACCGTGAAAATCACTGACAAAAATAAAACACAAACGCCCTTATCCATCCTGCCATTAAAAAGTGACAGATGTGTTAGGTGTGGGAGGACTTTTGTTTCCCCGAGGAGTCAGATGCAGATTTTGCAATGTCACATAAACAGTCCAGCCCTGATCTGGTGGTTCAGTCATCAAATATTCATTGAGGATCTGCTGCATGCCAGCTGCTGAGCCAAGCACTAGAGACATAGAGATGAATAAACCATAGTCTCTGGCCTTGAGGCCTTCACAGCCTAGGAGTTTAAATATGCTTTGGAGGAGAGGGAACAGAGATGTTTTTAATGACATTGCAAAATAACATGTTGACTGTAAAAGTGAACACCAGTGCTTGATCCACAAAGTCCCCGAAAACTGGCAGTAGTATGCGGGGGTAGGAGTCCCGCCCATCTGGAGCCCACCGTCTAGTTTGGGTTGGTCCTTCCATCTGCCAGCTGTGTGACCTCAATTTTCTGTAAATAAATGAATTTTAAAATAAGAGTGTTAATAAGTACTATAATAATTGGAGTAGTAATAATTATGGGAGTCATGATACTATCTCAGTGGCTTGTCGGATTGGGTAAATGAGGTAATGAATATAAGGCTTTCTACCATGCAGAGAGCAAGAACTCAGTAAGTGCTCATTTTAAGAAAATAATGATAAAATTAATAATAATTTGAATGCACATGTAAAAACTTAATCTTGAAATCTGTATTCCATCGTTCATTCAACCCATAGTTATTAACAGCCTGTCATTACATTAAAAGCCTAATTATCTTAAGAGCCAGGCAGTTCAGTTCAGTCACTCAGTCATGTCTGACTCTTTGCGACCCCATGGACTGCAGCACGCCAGGCCTCCCTGTCCATCACCAACTCCCGGAGTTTATTCAAACTCATGTCCATTGTGTCGGTGATGCCATCCAGCCATCTCATCCTCTGTCGTCCCCTTCTCCTCCCGCCTTCAACCTTTCCCAGCATCAGGGTCTTTTCCAGTGAGTCAGTTCTTCACATCAGGTGATCTCAGTATTGGAGTTTCAGCTTCAGCATCAGTCCTTCCAATGAATATTCAGGACTGCTTTCCTTTAGGATGGACTGGTTGGATCTCCTTGCAGTCCAAGGGGCTCTCAAGAGTCTTCTCTGACACCATAGAGAAAAGCATCAATTCTTCGGTGCTCAGCTTTCTTTATAGTTCAACTCTCACATCCATACATGACTACTGGAAAAGCCATAGCTTTGACTAGATGGACCTTTGTTGGCCAAGTAATGTCTCTGCTTTTTAATATGCTGTCTAGGTTGGTCATAACTTTTCTTCCAAGTAGCAAGCGTCTTTTAATTTCATGGCTGCAGTCACCATCTGCAGTGATTTTGGAGCCCCCCAAAATAAAGTCTGTCACTGTTTCCACTGTTTCCCCATCTATTTGCCATGAAGTGATGAGACCAGATGCCATGATCTTAGTTTTCTGAATGTTGAGGTTTAAGCCAACTTTTTCACTCTCCTCTTTCACTTTCATCAAGAGGTTCTTTAGTTGCTATTCACTTTCTGCCATGAAGGTGGTGTCATCTGCATATCTGAGGTAATTGATATTTCTCCTGGCAATCTTGATTCCAGCTTGTGCTTCATCCAGCCCAGCATTTCTCATGATGTACTCTGCAGATAAGTTAAGTAAGCAGGGTGACAATATACAGCTTTGACAGACTCCTTTCCCGATTTGGAACCAGTCTGTTGTTCCATGTCCAGTTCTAACTGTTGCTTCCCGACCTGCATACAGATTTCTCAGGAGGCAGGTCAGGTGCTCTGGTATTCCCATCTCTAAGAATTTTCCAGAGTTTGTTGTGATCCACACAGTCAAAGGCTTTGGCATAGTCAATAAAGCAGAAGTAAATGTTTTTCTGAAACTCTCTTGCTTTTTTGATGATCCAGTGGATGATGGCAATTTAATCTCTGGTTCTTCTGCCTTTTCTAAATCCAGGTTGAACATCAGAACAAGACCCAATTTCTCCCTCAGTCAGTCTCTCCCATCAGGAAGCTTCCATAAGCCTCATACCCTTCTCCATCAGCGGGCAGACAGACTGAAAACCACAATCACAGTAAACTAACCAATCTGATCGCTCGAACCACAGCCTTGTCTAACTCAATGAAACTATGAGCCATGCCATTTAGGGCCATCCAGGATGGACAGGTCATGGTTGAGAGTTCTGACAAAACATGGTCCAGTGGAGAATGGAATGGCAAACCACTTCAGTATTCTTGCCTTGAGAACCCCATGAACAGTACGAAAAGGCTAGATTTTGAGGGTTACATTTAAGATGAAGTGCAGTCTCATCTTCCCTCAAGCTGCTCATAGTCTAAGCAGAGAATCTGAATTGGTGTTCCAGGTATAAGATCTGAGGATGACCACAGAGTTGGAGATAGGTGTGTACACGCCCTTCTGCAGACGGAGAAACTGAGGCATAGCACCACACTGTGTAAGGGAGACGAGCTGATGCTGAGGGCTTGGGCAGTGAGCTCAGAAACACAGGGTCAGAAGGTGGTGAAGGGAGGTTTTCTTCTGGCCCCAAGGTTCAGTGTTTCATAGTGTAATAGGGGTGTAATTTTAAGACAGTCCTGTCCCTGGGACCTGGCCTTGGGAGCTTCTCACATTGAGCACCGAGAGCCCTAGCCTCCTGTGATCCCAGTCCCAGTCTCCCTTAGGGGCCCTTCACTCTGCTCCTACCCACCTCTGATTTCAGGGTGAGATGTTGGCGCAGGACCTACAGTGTCAGGCCAGCCCTCCAAGTTCAGAGAGCACTGCCACATTCTCCTCCCGACTCCCTGCAGCTGAACAGAGCTAAGCCCCAAGGTGGCCTGGCTGAGTTTCAGGGGTCACCAGGGGTTCCTTCCCACCCTCCACCTCTGGTCAGCCTCATGGGCTGGGTCTCGTCCAGTCCCTTCTCTGCTTGCGCATCTGGAAACAGGCCCTAGAGAGGGAGGAAAGACTGTGCATTTAGGCCAGATACAGTGATGTGGGCATGAGGGCTTCCATAAGGTTAGAAACAGCACATTTTATTTCCCTGAACCTGTATACTTGAATCTTCATCACCCTAAGGAGCTTTCTTCTGTCTGTTTCCAGGAAGCCTTTCAGCTCTTCTGCGATCAAAGTGGGGGCCGATGAAGGAGCCCACCATCAAATTCTACACCAAGCAGATCCTGGAAGGCCTCAAATACCTGCACGAAAACCAGATTGTGCACAGAGACATCAAGGTACTTGCTTGTCTGAGCCTCCAGGGTGTCGCTTTGCATCTCAGATCATGGGAGCTGTGGGCACTGTCAGAGAGGGTGGATTGAGCAGAATCTAGTCTTCCTAGAGATGCATGACCCTTGGTTAAGACCCAAGTCAGTTTTACCTGAGTTTGTTGAACTCTGTCTTTAAGCATTTGATCTTCCTTTTCCAAAGGGTGATAATGTTCTGGTGAACACCTATAGTGGAGTGGTGAAGATCTCTGATTTTGGCACCTCGAAACGTCTTGCAGGAGTGAATCCGTGTACGGAGACTTTTGCTGGTAAGCAGAACAATGCTTGCTGGGGGGTGGCCATCCTGGAGTCAGGCTGCTGGAGCCGCAGTCCTTTGGGAGTTACTCACCGAGCACCTGAGTGCAGCTGGTAGTTGAAGTGGACTGTGTGTTGTCCCCAACTTCAGAGTGTTTGAGCTCTGTCAGGATGACAAGCTCAGCCATTTGCAGCAACCAGATTGCCTTACTTTCCTCTTTGTCTGCCAAGGTTGAATAGGTGTAGCCCTCTGCTTGAGGTTTTCCAACAAAATGGCAGCATCTTTTTAAAGTTAATAGCACATTATTCAGAATCGTGAGTGATTCTGAGTAACGGTACCCTTCAGACAACTTATGAGGACATCTTATTGGTCCTTTATAAAACTGGCCTGTTACTTTAGGGAATTCTGGCACCTCGTGCATTGATATGATGATTTTTCCAAGGGCAGTTGATTCTTCTGAGGAATATGGTATTCTTAGCGGATTTGAGCACTTATGTTTTCTTTGCTGTGTGTCAGTGATGGAATCGATTAAGTGTTGCAAGGAACTGGATTCAAAGAGTGTTATAAACCTGTCAGCTAGCTTTCCATTTACTCAACCAGGGAGTAGAATGATGCTCGAAAGCTGCCTATGGCTTTTTGTTATTCCCACTTGAAAGCAAAACAGAAACTTTGATCGTTGAAAAGAAGTACTGATTTTGAATAAGTAAAGGTTTATGGTCCCCAAAGGCGTAATGAAAGGATCACAAAGCTCTTGTTTGATGGAATTATGAAAGAGCACTTACAATATTATCAGTTCAGTTCAGTCGCTCAGTCATGTCTGACTCTTTGCGACCCCATGGACTGCAGCATGCCAGGCTTCCCTGTTCATCACCAACTCCCAGAGCTTGCTGAAACTCATGTCCATCAAGTCGGTGATACCATCCAACCATCTCATCCTCTATCAATATTATGCAATATTAAAGCTCCAGTATATGCTATGAAAGGCAGATGACTGTGTTCTATCCCTATAACATCAAACTGTAGAGTAGACAGACTTTGCCTTAGTTTTGGTGAATAATGTCTCAGCTTTGACAGACTTTTCTCTAACAAGAGAGTTGTTGTGTGTCAGCCACTGGACGCCCACAGTGGAGACTCATTCTCTATTTGAGGAGAACTTTTATGCATCAGAAGTGACTTCTCAGTTGTAACACCAAGGGAGGTACATGCACCTCAAAATGGGGAACTTTTGAAGACCCCACCAGAGTCTCCCAAGAAGTATATTGAATTTTCATTCATTTTTTTCTGATAATTGTACTTACATATGTATATGTATGTGTGTATATATATATATGCATATTGACATGTATATATCAGAGAGTATGTATGTATGCATGCATGTATGACTGGCATATTTTTTTTACTAGTCTAATTGAAAATGACTTTTTTTTTCCTTTTCTTTGGAAGCCACCAGTTAGCTTGGTAATATATAGCAAGAGGGGCTCTGATAAGGCAAGAAGTTATTTAAAAACTTAAAACCCCCAACAATTTATCTCAAAATTACCATCCCCAAGGAGAAAAAAATTCATAAAGAAAACACATGTATAATTCATTATAGCATATCACATTTTCCCAAGTAATTGGCTTGAGGCAGGAATTTTGCATTGCAAAATAATGCAGGGGTGTTTGGGGGATAATAAAGAAGGGGTCTCATTTGGGGTAGGAAATTCCCCTGCATATAATTACTCTTTGCAAAACAGAGCGGTTCTGTAAAGGAATCTCGACGGCCTGGTGCCACAGTCCTATTGGGTGCAGGGGGACATGGTCAGGCATTTCCGCACAAATGCCCAGAAGTGTTTGGAGCCTGGAAGGAGAGATAGAGGTTTCACACGACCTTATGGCCTGAAGTGCTCCCCTCTGGTGTTCCTCTGAAGGCTTTTAACCGTAGCTATTAACAAGCTATAACAGGAGGAAGGGCCATTATGACCAGGGTCAGCCCCCTTCACTTTTGGTTTTGCAACAGTTTTATTGAGGTTTAACTCACATATCATAAATGTACCCATTAAAAGTGCACATTACAATTGTTTCTGGTAAATTTTCCAAGTTGTGCGGCCATTGCTGCAAAGCAATTTTTGAGTATTGTCATCACCCCTAAAAAGGTGCCACCTTACAGTCAACCCCAGCCCACCACTGACCTATTCTGTCTTTGTTTATGTAGATTTTCCCACTCTGGAGATTTCTTATAGACAGAAAGATACAGTATGTAGTCCCTTGTACCCAGCTTCTTATGCTTCACAGAATCTTTTTGATGTTCACCCATGCTGTAGCATGTATTGGTACTTCATTCCTTCTCTGGCTGGATGGTATTCCATCGTATGGATAGACCACATTTTGGTTTGCTTTGTTTTGATTTGTGGCTGCATTGGATCTTCCTTGCAGCAGGCTTTCTTTAGTTTTGGCATGCAGGCTTCTCTTCCTGCAGCACTTGGGCTATAAAGTGTGTGGGCTCAGTAGTTGCAGCATGTGGGATCTTAGTTCCCTGACCAGGATTGAACCTACATTCCCTGCATTGGAAGGTGGATTCTTAACCACTGGGACCACCAAGGAAGTCCCTAGACCACCTTTTGTTTATCCATCTACCAGTTAATGGTCATTGAATTGTTTCCTCTTTTTGGCTGTTGTGAACAATACCGCTGTAAACATTCAGATACAAACCTCTGTGTGGAGATGCATTTTCATTCCTCTCTGCTGGATACCTAGGAGTGAAACTTAGGACAGGAACTCTCTCCTGATCTCTGGCTGTGAACAGCCTTGGTTCAAAGTCTGGCTCAACCTCTTGCTAGCTCTGTGACCTTGGACATGTTACTTAACCTCTCTGTGTCTGAAGTTTCTTCATAAGTAAAACAGAGATGCTCAAAATACTTACCTCAGAGGGTTTTTATGTGGATTAAATTTGTTGATATTGGAATGAAGCACTTTAACCACTACCTGGCTCATAGCAAGTGAGGCTGAAGTCTGCGTTAATGAAATAAACACTCATTTACACTTAGAGCTGGCAGGAGCCTTTGAGAGAATTAGGTTTATGTGCATAACTAACGTGTTGAATCTGTTGGACTCAAAAGAGGTAATTTTAATTTTTGTCTCCATGGTCCCTTATATCCCAGTCCTTTCCTGTGACTTTTCCAGCCACCCTTAGTTGACAGAAAGAAAGGCCTAATGACACTTGGAGAAGCAAATGCAGTCCAAATCCATTCACTGGAAGGGTTCTGGCTGATACCCAGGCATGTCTTGTTTAATTGTGCTTTGCTTGGCTGCACTCCACAGATACTGCGTTTGTTTGTTTGTTTTTAACAAATTGAAGGTTTGTGGCAACCTTGCATCATTAGATGATGGTGAGCATTTTTTAGTGATCGAGGATTATTTAAGGTCTGTACATTGTTTTGTTAGATATGATGCTTTGTTGTTGCTGTTTAGTTGCTCAGTCACGTCTGACTCTTTGAGACCTCATGGATCATAGCCCGCCAGGCTTCTCTGTACATGGAATTCTCCAGGCAAGAATACTGCAGTGGGTTGTCATTTCCTTCTCCAGGGGATCTTCCTGACCCAGGGATCAAGCCTGTATCTACTTCATTGGCAGGTGGGTTTATCTATTGCTGAGCCATCAGCAATACAATGCAACTGCACAGTTAATTGACTGTAGTATAGTGTGAACATAGCTTTTCCATGTGCTCAGAAGGCAAAAAGCTCCTGTGACTCACTGTATTGAGATACTCTCTTGATTGTGGTAGTCTGGAATCGAACCTGCAGAATCTCAGGGTCTGCCTGAGCTCATCCACACGCTGGTCCCCATGCACAGGGCAGACTCTTCGCCCCTGTCCCTGCTGGTCTGTGGCAGGGCTGCAGGGGTCAGGATGTCGGCCTAGACTCCCTCCCTCACCTCCTTCCCTTCTCAGCGGCTGTGGGCAGGAGAAAGGGACAGGGAACGTTTTCACTTGATGGGCCCTGATCTAAGTGGCTGCCTGTGCTCTGGGCCTGGCTGATGGTTGCTGCTAACTCTTTGCTGCCGGCTCCCTCTAAATATAACTCCAGAGTCCTCAGCATGGGCCTGTCCTTCAGCTGACTGTCCCCTGTCCCCTCACCCTGATCTGTTTGTTACCCTAACTACCTCTCCATCTTTTTCTGCTGAGGGAAGCAGGCCCTGGAAGGCTGTCTTTGAGCAGGATTCCCTTTAAAAAGACCCTCAAGCAGTATGTCTACAACAAGTTCTACATCTGGTGTCCAGGATTTACGTGCCTTTTACCTGCTGTTAAGAGTGCGTGGTGATCTCCCCCAACCATATGGTCCCTGCTCTGCTGCTCTCAGCTGCTTTTGCGCCCATGGGAACCAGTTCTCTGTGCAGTGTCTGCAGGAGACATGTACGTATGGGGCTCTGAGTGGGCCCCATGAGGAGCCCTCACAGGATCTGGGTGTGGAGCTTGTGGCGGCCCATCCCTCCAGGCCCATCCTTTGGGCAGGACAACTGGGTAACCCTGGAAAGGGTTGTACTGGAAACTGGAAAACTGTACCTTACTTCTCTTTTCACTACATCATTAATATTAAGTTTTGAAACGTTGGGCTCTGACACTGTCCAGGGGCTTCTAGAAGATGCTGACACGTGTGGCCTCCTTTCAAGTGCACTTGTCTTGAGTGGATGTTGAGTATCTTAAGTCGCCATGGCCCCACATCCTTCTGGGGACAGCCCTTCCCCACTCATGTAATGGGACAGCATAGACCTCCCAGCACCACTCTCTCCAAAAAAGTCACTTTCATCCCCATCCCCACCCCCAGAAGAAGGTTTCTGTGGGTCCCCTAGTCACCTTCTTTTGCACCCATGTAGGTACCTGAGGGATCATAGGAAGCCCCCTAAGAGAGCCAGATGTAAGGTGAGCAAAATTTCCAGGATTGCTCCGTTCATTTGCCCCACCATGGCATCTTCACTTGGTTTTCTCCACAAAAGCCAGCCTGTGGTACAGCTCATGGACACCCACAACATGCACG